CCCTACAAATAGTAGTGGCACATAGTTGTGCTGCTGCTACTTGTTCCTGGGGAACACCCGCGTGCATGCATGCTCTGGTGCACAGCCAGTTGCCCTGGGTAGGGCAGGGAACAACAATTCTCCCAGTAGAAAATGAACATCTGTACCTGGCCTAAGTTAAACAATGCTGACTTCTGGTCTCAAGCAAACACTGACCTCAGTCAACATACAGAAGAATGTCTTGATAAAGTCAGACAAGGTTCCTTGGGTGAATTTGATATCTTTTATTAGACCAACCCAAATGGTTGGAGAATAGTTATCGAGCAAGCTTTCGGGTTCAAAAACCCTTTGTCAGGGTAAAGTCATGTTTTTCTCTTCTTCCTGAAGCAGACTATGTTTTCATATGTTGCAAGGCCTTAGCAGAGTAGGAACTAGACAGGGCCTTTCAAGAGCATAATTAGCTTGTGCTTTTCTTTGACATGTGGGATACATTTCTTCTTATTGCATTTGACAAGTTCAAGGATAGGTCAAGAGGTGGGAGTATCGATTCTTCATTAGTTTTGTACTGATGTAGTCAGTTGTTATGGAGACAGACGATGTGAGCATGTGTGCTTGCATGCACATGGTCATGCATGTGCCCATGGATGAGTTGACACAATGGACATTTGAAATCTCTCAGATGTAAAAGATTCCTGGTGTAGGAATCAGGAGCTTTTTGATATTGCACAGGTTGGCGGTGGTAGTGTGGAGAGGGGACCCAAACATTAAAATATGGGGTAGCAGCTCAAGTAGATCTCTGCATTGGAGTCTCAGGCATTTCTGATCTAACTTTCAGTCATCAACAGCTAAATTGCCCTTGCAAAATCTGGAGGCACGTATGCATTAACAACTGCATGTTTTACACAATTTGCAAGATAGGTACCTGTTTTGGGAACATTCACATTTTCCCAATGCTGAGAAGGTACCGAGACGCTAGAGATGAGAATTGGGCCCTGCTGTCTTTTGTGAACTAAACATGAATTTGTCTGTTTCATTACTACTGTAAATAACGGTCTGCTGCTAATGTAATGATAATAATGGGGAAATACATTATTTATTATTTGTACGATGGCGACACCTAGACTCCCCAGTCGAAACTGGACTAACCACAGTACAGACAGAGAGAGAAACTGGAAAGGATCCAAGGGCAAGCAACAAAGACGATAACGGGCTTGAAAAGCAAGCTGCATAAGGAAAGGCTGAAGGGACTAGGTACACTTCATTTGGAGAGAAGAGAATTGATGGGGGACATTATTGAAAGGCTTCCATAAGAAAGATGGAGAAACACTGTTTTACCCTACCACAGAGGTCAGGATAGGTGAGAGTGGTTTTTAACTGCAGCAAAGCAGATTTAGATCTAATCTGAGGGAAAAAAATCCTAACTGTAAGAGCAATAAGACAGTAGAACAGGCTGCGTAGGGAAGTTGTAGAAGCTCCTTTATTAGAGGTTTTCAAAAGAAGGTGAACAAATTTCTGTCTATGAGAACAGTACATCCTGCCTTCGTGCAGGGGTCAGACTTGATAAACCTCAAGGTCCTTTCTAACTCTATGCTTCTATATAAAGACATGGCCCCCTTTTCAAAATTATAGAGTTGATCATCTACCTTGTCCTGTAGACACATATATCCATGCTGAATTTGGCCGCTTCCACGCATACAATTAATTATTGTAAGTGTTTTTGGCAAAGACAGTCTTTTTGTTCTGTATCTGCACAGCTCTTAGTGAAGCAACATCCGTGTGTGGGATGTGTAGGCCCAACAACAATACAAATATTCATATTGAGGTTAGCTCATAACTGATAAGCTCGCTCAAGGGCACACATTATGCTAGCAACAGTGCTTGGAATATGACTCAATTCAGCCCCTGCTTTTAACAAAAATACGACACTCCTTCTAACTAATAACAGAACCCACATTACAGACCTGAGGATTAAGAACTGTATGAGAGTTTAATAAAACCAGGGATTACGGCTATTCTCATAAGTGCCCTATGAACTCTCTCTTTCCTGCAAACTAAACAAATACCTTCTGCCCTTCTGCGAGGGTTTCCTGAAAAGTGTGTTAATTGAAGTCAGTTTTAACAGGGTTTACCAGATGGCAGGGACTTCACAGTGGCCGCTGACAGATGTGGAAAAAGAAAAAGGGAAAAAAACAAAAAGGTGCTGTAATAGCTGATTAGATAAAAGCACCAAAAAGCCCCGCTGAAGTGTACGATCTATACAGATGTCGGGCGAGATGGCTCAGACTGACACAGCTCCTCTTCTGGGCATGTGCTGTGCTTGGTGCAGAGGCATGAAGTAAAGCGCCATTTGTTTTTGTTTTTTCCACATCTGTCAGCAGCTGTCAGAGATTGTGGGCACTACAGTTAAAAACTTCACACTCCAGCCCCAATTCCTTAGAGGTTTGTATACGTGCTGACCTTTAAGCATGGAAGTAGCTCCATCAAGCTCAATGGGACAACTTGCACACTTTGAGTTAAGGTCATGCATTTGTCTTTGTACAACTCGGGCCTTACTGTATTTGACGCTTGCATATTTTACTCAGAATGCCATGTAGCATGTACTCGGGCACACACTGAAACAATTGTTTGTGTTAAGCAGAGATATAGGAAACAATGCAAAATAGATGAGAATCTGGGCTGGATAGCCTAGGTTACAACAACGGAAGAGGAGAGAGGCTTTAATGTGTACCTAACTGATTGGCCAGATGTTTCCCCTTCTCCAGAGGAACAATTCTTTCATCCTCCATGTCACACTTGTTTCCAACCAAAATGACTTGTGCATTATCCCAAGAATAGGTCTTGATCTGAGTAGCCCTGGGACAGGAGACAGAGAAAACAATTACCTATCATTGCTATTGCCAAAAGCAGGTTGTATACTAGAAACTAACATTTATAATAATTCAAACCAAACCAATAATCAGCCACAGATGAAAAAAAAGTTAACAAACAAACATATAGGGTAGCAATGCAATCTACCTGAGTTAGGGTGGGTTTTATTTTATCATCTCTAATTTTGTATAAAATCTTTCTATATTGACAAAGTTCACCTTTATATATTTAAGCATTGTGGAAACTGAATAAAAGGATTAAATAAATCATTTCATTTAGTACATTTTAGGGAAATTAACACAATTTGTTAAGGTAGTTCTTATTGTGGTTGTTTATGAAGCCACAGTGATTTATATCAGCTGAGAATCTAATCCCTAAAAGGCTACATAATAGCTACAAACCACCAATCAAAAAGCCTCTGAATATATCATAAAAGATATGGCAAAAATAACCCCATATTGCTTTAAAAATTCAGTATCTCCAGACAAATAAATGATATTTGGTTGCTACCACTCTTACTTTTTGATAAAATTAGTTCATAAAGGGAATGAGGTAGATGTAATTTTTAAAATTTGAGTACAGTATTTAAAACTGTGTTTAGAAAAGTTATGCTTGAAAATGTAAGTCATCTTGGCCTGAGTAGGAATCGCATCATACAGACTGAATGCTGGTTAGACATCTGTAAATTAACAATACAGAGAAATGTAGCATCTTGGAAGAAATGGGGCTCAGTATGAGATTATATACATCACACACACACACACACACACACACGCACGCAAGATTACACAATCACATTATTATGCAAAGAGAGGTTGACTGTATTGTGCAAATTGCCTTAAATAAATAGTACATTTGATTTGCACCCGTGGAAATTAGTCTAACAAAGCCCAATGCTCAAGTTCAGGTTGATTTTTCAAAAAGCAAAAATTAAAAAGAATTATGCACTTTGAGGCTTATATGTTCTTCCTACACTGTAGGAAATCAGCATGTGATGTTTGATTTGCATTTGGTTTTTACTGGCATCACCTTTTACTATCTTGACACAGGTTGTTTTAACCCTTTCTTTTAATTGTGTTCAAGGCTCATACAGCTGATTCTTAAACAGAACATACATGTCACAGGATTAATACTAGTTAAAAAGATGGCCATGCTGACATAATGATGTGGACACAGGGATTGGAGAAAGAGGTACTGGCACTTTCTAAACACTTTGTTCTTGCATCTGGCTGGTAGTATGAAGGACTTGTTTACATTGCATCCTAAATTAATGCAGATTCATTAAAACCCATGGGGACAGGCTCATTCAGAAGTAAAGTGGCCTTAGTTCCTGGTAGCTTAATCCTCCTTGAAAGCAAACACTGACTTTACAAAGTTAGCTGTTTGGTCTTAATTTTTCAGAGTGCTCCCTTCTAGACAAATCCTAAAACAGAGGATCTTAAAAAAGGGATTTGTGCAATCTGTCTTGCACTTTTGTGCTTCTTACAGGCTGGTCACAATATTATCCCTTGGTGCTACTGCTTCAACTCCTGGTTTCGCCATGATCAGAGCTGAGGCTCAGTCATGTAAATAGAATTAAATGGGGAAAGAAAGAGTGGAAGAAGGCATCTGTCCCGTGTCATAGTGTATGGGGTTGCGAAAAGCCCCTTGTACACATTTACTGGGAATTCTGTAGAAAGATATTTCCAAAATGGGATGTGCAAAAAACCTGTTCCTGTTAAAAAAAGTGAAGGAAAGAAATCTAACTTCCTGTGCCTGTGGACTTTATACCCATGAGCTGGTAGAAAAGCAAGAGTTAATGTAACTGAGATGTTTCAACCTTACTATCTAATCCAGCACACCAGGAAACATCTGTATTTCCATGATTTGAAAACTGCCATGCTATATTTGTGCTGAATTCCAGAAATTAATGATGGAGCATAGTGCTATGCTTCATGCTTGGGAGAAAACGAAAGTCTCAGGTTCACAGTTGCGTTGATGTATCAGTAATCTCATTAGAGTTCCAGCTTAAGGAGCAAAAGGTAGTCCTTTTTGAACCCAGCTGTCATTTCCAATGTAAGTTATAGAAGACTAAGGATTTTTTCCCTTATCTAATAACATCTCAACTGTCTGAACCACAGTTTCCACAGCATTTGCCCTGCACATAAAAAAGGTTTCTAATGCTATGACTCATTTGAAATGCCTTTTGTTGATTTACAGGTGCAAAGCACTAAATTTATCTACATATAAAACTAACAAGACAGTGACATTCAATTGAACCTCTCAGAAATCCTGAAATTGTGGCTGGAGCCAGGCAAAGAGATCCACCTGGTGAGTCCATCTCCCCCATTTGATAGGAGCTGCATTGTGCTATTCAGTCAGCAGCAGCAGCTCCCTTTTTTGGCATAATGGTTATTCCTGTTAACCAGAGTTACAACCTAGTTATTACTGTGGAAAATGGGTCAGTTGTTCCATAGCTAACAGCTCATCTGTATTGTTCTCATCCTGCAACAGATGAAAGCTAAGCAAAGGTAACTCTGGCAGACAAACCTGAGAAAGGATTAAGGGGGCCTAGCTTACAGAAGGTAAGGTCTAGATCATTTATCCCACAGTGTAGCATTGGTTTTTCTGTGCCATTTTTATTTTCCATCTGATTTCCACCTAGATGAAAAGTTTTCCTTAACATATCACTAATTCGTCTTGCACACCTCCTATCCACCAACCATGCACCGCTACAGCCTGGGGGCTGTCTGGCTGGGCAGCAGCTCTGGAGAAAAGTACCTGGGGGTGACAGTGGACAATAAGCTGAATATGAGCCAGCAGTGTGCCCTTGTTGCCAAGAAAGCTGATCGTATACTGGGCTGCACTGGTAGGTGTGTTGCCAGCAGATCAAGGAAAATAATTAGTTAGACCTGTGCAAAGCGGCAAGCATTTGCTTTGGATTTAGCCGACTCAGAGGGACAGTGATTCAATTCGGAGATTCGAATCGCTGTCCCGATTCAATTCAGCTGAATCAGATCTGAAGATGCGGCCATAGAAAAAACAGGCAGCAGTCCTCGACGCTGGACACAGCTGCCTCTAGCTCAGGGGCGGGCAAAATACAGCCTGCGGGCCGGATCCAGCCTGCCAGGCTATTCTATCTGGCCCACAGAGCCCCTAAAATATTTAGTAAATTAATATTTATTTGCCCTGGCTCTCTGTCAAAGCTGGCTGGAGCCAGGGGCAGTATGACCCAGAGGGAGCCCTCAGCAGGCTTGAGCAGCCCAGCCCCACCCACCCCCAGCTAGTTCCCTGCTTTCCTGCCCCAGCCCCACTCCAGCACCAGTGGCTATGGCTCCCGGCTGCATCCCCCAACCGTGGAGCATGGGACTGCACTGGTAGGGGTGTGTATTTATGTGCCCCATGCCCTCCTGGACTGGTGGTGGGAGCAGCTGTGAGAGCCGCTGGACAAGCCACCACATGAGCAGCTCCCAGACCAGCGGTGCGCAGCGGCATGAGCCACCCCATCCCCTCCCTGGGCAGCGCTTGCCCCAGCCCGGGACCCAGCCCAGCCCCAATCCTTCCCACACTGTGGAGGTGTTGATCTGCCCCCCGCAGGGCCCTTCCCTCTCCCTCCACCCACCACAACAGACCTACCAGCTGGAGGTAGCCGTGTCCTGTCCAGCGTGGTCAAGGACTGCTGCCTGTTTAGTCTATGGCCGAATCTCCAAATTGGCACCAAATCTTTTCCAAATCAATTCAGAGGCTTCTGATTTGATTCAGACCTTTTCATGGGTCTCCTGATTCAGATTCAGCCACCGAATCAAGCCAAATCTCTTCCGAATCAAATTGCTACCAAAGCTTCACACAGCCCTAGTAATTACTCCCCTCTTTTCAGCACTGGTGAGGCCACCTCTGGAGTTCTGCATCCAGTTTTGGGCCCCCCCACTACAGAAAGGATGCGGACTAATTGGAGAGAGTCCAGCAGAGGGCAACGAAAATGGTTCGGGGGCTGGGACACGACTTACGAGGAGAGGCTGAAGGAACTGGGCTGATTTAGTTTAGAGAAGAGCAGACTGAGAGGGGATTTAACAGCAGCCTTCAACTCCCTGCAGGGGGGTTTGAAAGAGGATGGAGCTGGACTGTTCTCAGCGGTGGCAGATGACAGAACAAGGAGCAATGGGCTCAAGTTGCAGCAAGGGAAGTTGAGGTTAGATATTAGGAAGAATTTTCTCACTAGGAGGGTAGTAAAACACTGGAACAGGTTACCCAGACACATGGTGGAAGCTCCATCCTTGGAGGTTTTTAAGACCCAGCTAGACTAAGCTTCAGGTGGGATGATCTAGTTGGGGCTGGTCCTGCTTTGAGCAGGGGGTTGGACTAGATATGACCTCCTGAGGTCCCTTCCAGCCCTCATTTTCTATGATTCTATGTTCATGTGAGCAACTCAGTTCACATACATCTTGCAAGGAAAGCCTGCATGTAAAGATCCTTTGACTAGAAACAGTCTTTGCAAAGCCGTCAAACTCTTATCATAATGATCTTCAAGTGTATTCATCAGATTCCATAGAAACTAATTAACTGAATCAGATAAAAGCATACCTCCTAATTTACAAGCTTCCAGTTTTCTTCCTTCAAGAAAATAAATTGCTTTTTTCCCAAGGACCTGCAACAAGCTTTATACAAAATCATTAAAACAAAAATCACAGTCTGTAGCAACTTGCACGCATCCTGTCAATCTTTGCTAAATCTTTTGAACAAAAAGGGAGATGCTAAAATCATAAACAGAAATAGCACTTCTAAAATAAATTAAAACACTCTTTTCAAAGAGGGTTACAGGGTTACCTGGATTTCAAGTCAGCTGGCTAGCAGAGAATTCTTGAAAGTTTTGGATTTATTCCCAGTGCCTGCGGTGTCAGCTAACCAGCTGTGTCACACTGCCTTTATGGCAGAAAGTTTCATTTACATTACCATTTATTCACTGTGTTAGGCCATTGGCATCACTCCCCTGGCAGAGTATACATGGC